AAAACACTTCTTACTCCCACCTACTGCTTTTTTACCTCAGGCATCAAAACTAATGAAACCTATTATCCAGAACATTGAGTTCAGCATCGGCATTGGCCACTGCAAATACTGGAGGTGGGGGAGGGGCACTTTCAGGGATGGCACTCCTTATTCAGCCATTAAAATTGCTGAAAATCAAATTTTGCTCAAAACTTCAGCAATACAAGTAAAGGAAGGCACATGAAACAAGGACACTGTTTCACAGTTAGATTTCAGCCACTAACTGCTAAAGACAGCACAGCTCTGAATCCAGGATTTATCATTTGCCCCCTGCCTTTGTTTTCAATTTCTACCTTAAACATATAAAATGCACTGTAGTGTTAAAAAAAAATCTTCTGAAATTATTAAATCTACTTACTAAAAACTACACTAACCAAATATTACAACAAGAAAATATGTATCCATTTAATCTAATTGCAACAAATAAAGGAATACCAAGATAAATATTTTTGAAATATCTGCCTTCTCAAAACTGACTTACCAAAGAAATTAAGTAACAAAGGAGCACAATGCTACATTGATTCTGAAATATAGCACTTCACCCATAAAAAAATCCAATGACTTACAACACCACTGATTGATAAAGTTATGCTGCCATCAGATGCCTCATAGAATCTATATTTGAAATCATTAATAACTAATAGACTTATTACTTATATCAACTTCATCCTATTTAGAGTTCTGATTTCTTGAATTGCTCATGAGTATAAAACATTCAGTGTATCACTTAACAAATCTATGTTGAAAATGGATTGTAATCTTCCCGATGTCAATTCATCAAACAAGTAAGAATCATAGGTAGAAGATAAATACCAAAACATTCCATTTATTTCAACCTATTTGCAAACTTAAGTAATTACAAATATTGATAATATCTAGCAAATAAAAGCACAATTGCGATTCAACATTTTAACAGGATAATATCTTCCTAAGGAATCAGCATGGGTTCTCTGTCAACTGCAGGATAACCGGAATTTTAATGACAGTTTCTACACAGCAATGAAGCAGTTGAGACCAGACCCAAGTTAGCATTTCAATGGATCACAAGACTCCCTGTAAAGTCAGCAAACTTTAAATTGAAGGAAACCATAAAACTAAATTTCTAAATAAACTGTACAAGGCCTTCAAAAGACAACTGCTACAGAAAACACTGAAAAAAAAATATTGCACAGTGGCTGTTATTGACTTCTCAAAACCAAATTTGTCCTCATTTGCTACTTATTTCAAACATTATAAAAAATGATTACCATTTTTAATCTTTAAAACTATGCTCTTAATATGCTCTAGAATGCATAAACAAGGGTCTAGAAGGATTAAAATTAACAATTATCTTTGCTAGAATAATGCTTATTTTCTCTTTTACTTCTTTGAGTATTTTTCAGATTTCATGACAGGCATTACTTTAATAAGCTTACATTTTAAAATAAATTTTTAAAATAAGGCTACTATATTAAACAAGACTGTAAGTCAGAAATTACAAGGAAGACCAACATTTTTAAAACAGGAATCATCACAAGACAAATTTTGAGACAGAAAAGCAGCATGTGATTCAGTTAGAATATATATATTTAAATTCATCAATGCTACAAACATTTAAAAAACTTCCTCCAGGACAATGATATTAATAAAAATGGCAACTATTGATTTCAACATTGGCACAATTGAGCAGTAAAAATTTAAAATATTTCCTTCCATTCTTCAGACACAAACTGATTTGAATCAAACACACACACACACATACACACACACACACACACACACACACGTGCACACACAATCTTGCTACTAAAATCCTGACAGGGCAAGTCCCCAAATTGCCTTTTACACTAAAGCTCAAACAGTTGTCTGTCACTGCTATTACTGTGAGTAATCCTTGCAGCTGTAACTGTTTGAAATGCAGCTGTCTCGTTGGCATTCTCTCCCCACCCCTAGTCATCCAGCATTTCTGTTCTTGCTACAATAATCTTAAAGAGCATTTTACAGGAGGCTTAGCCCTGGCTGAGGGCACTCTACGGCGTGACCGAGAGAACATGGAAACACGATTCATTAGACACGCCTGGAGTGATAACAATGGTGCTGCTTCTTACTGCCTTTCATTTCGTACATCAGGCTGAGACTAATGCATTCTCGTTACACAACAAGCACATTTATAGACAGGGAAAAACTGTAATCACCTTTGATTAAGAGACAGCATATTTTTCCTATATGAGCCGCCAGCCATACTGACATAGTAATTATTTTTTAACTGACAGGTTAAAATAGCAAATGTAGCAAAAATAACATCTGCAGAGAGAGAGAGACAGAGAGAGAAACAAGGGAGCTGACTACTGTGAAGACTTGGTACACAAAGGTTTCTTTAGACTAAACTCAGTGCCATCTCCTTGAGACCTGATGGGTACTCTGGCTTTTATTTCGGCTTGACAAAATGTCAAATATTACAGAAGTCACCCTTAAGGGAATTCATTCTATAAATCCAATTCTTTGCAGGCAGAAACTACAAAATATTTTTGTCACTGAAACTGTAATTATTATTGATCTACCTTCTTTCCACTTCTTTCACCACAGGACAAGAAAATTCAACAGTAGTATCCTTTTCTTCCATTATCTTACTACAAAATAATTTGTTCTCTTTGCTTTGTTATCCAGTTTTACTACAAATAATTTGTTTTCCTTTATATAAAATGCTACTCCAAGACAGAAGAAAATCTGCTTTCTACTGTAACACAGCTTTTAAAATGTAATTTTGATTAAAAACAAAAATACAGAATAATTAGATCAGTCTATCATTTCACTTAACACGCAGCAACTGCTGCACCTGGTGAAGGTTTGAACTGTAACTATAAAAGCCCTAATTTATGCTGAAACCCTATTTGGTCTATAATTTTTTTTAAAAAGCCCTAATTTAAATTAGAAAAAAAAGTCATAAGCCACATTATACTGACAGCATATAAAGTCAATTTTCTTAAGGAATTTCAAAAAGTGAACCACCTTTCCACATACACATATGCAATCTTTTGTTGGTTTACACATGTGTGTTGCTGGGTTGTAGTTTACAGAGAATTTGGTATTTCGCAGAAAAAAAAAATTGTCATGAATTGAAATATCATACTTAAACCAAAATATTGGAAAATACTTTTTCAAAGTTAGCAGATTCTGTATAATTAAGCAACGATAAAATAATCTCTTTTTAAAACTTTCCATAACACTATTGAGTCTTACATTACGAATGTGCTACAAAATGAAACAATTTACACTTGTGAAAATTTGTTAAGACAGAAAAGAAACAAAAATAAGCAAATAATAGAAAAAGTTTGGTTTGGTTCACAAAACTGTGGAACCTGTAATAGCTTTTGAAAAATAATTATGTAGCCAGGCAATGTGTTAGGAGCCCATATTCCCAGCTATTCAGGATGCTGAGGCGGCAGGACACATGAGCCCGGAAATCAAGGCCAGCCTGGGCACTACAGTGTGATCCTATCTCAATCTATCAATCAATCAGTCAATCAATCAATCGATACAAACGGTTCTGTACATACAACAAACAAATTTTGTAAAACGGCAAATGCTTGAGCAATTTTAAAAAGTAAGATTTTAGAGTTTTCTGACCTGTGCTACCACAGCAGCTTAGAAACTAGAAAATGTGTAGCCTAACTCTAGCGTGTCTATAAATGGACCACTGCACTCTAATGTGCACTTAACACAGTGTACTTTGAGAAGTTCTGTGTGTCCCACACAATTTTAGAATGACAAAAGCTTAAAATTTTCATCATCTGGAATCAATGAGTCTTTTTACAGAAGATAACATCTATCTCCACTGCCAGTGATCAACCCATGTCTTTCTCTCTTCTTTTGGTTTTCTATACTGGACATGACTCCCCCAAAACTAATCAAATTACTTCTACATATTTTCCCTGTCTTCTTTTTGAAAAAGACAAAATTAATCATTAATATAAAACATGTCACCACACATTAAAAATTTTTATTTAAAAAAAATTTCATTGGATAACACTGAAAGGAAAACAAAAAAAATTCAGTTTAAATGTATTCTTAGTTATTAGAACATTTTTCTTTCATAAACAACTATGGTTTCCATATGAATTTCCACTACCCTCATTTGGCTCTTAATAGACTCCAATATTATTATTCTCAAGTTTTAAAAGACAGAATGTATAATTCTCTCCTCGTGTCTTCAAAATTAATTTGTTTTTGAATGCAAAAACAACCTATTGGAAAGCAATAAAAATTTCTCAAAACTTTTATTAAAACATATCCAAGAAAAAGTTGTCATTATTCAAAACTTAATAAGTCAAGAGGTTTCCACTCATAAGCAAAAAATTTGCAAATGACTGAAATACACCAACACTGCCAATATTTTTACTTAATGTAGGTGTTTCAACACTGCAAGATTTCTTGGCATTGAGTCAATATGAAAACTGCAAGTACTTTAGGAAATGAAGATCAGTTATTTACACAGTCACAGTGATGTGAATGAGTTCAATTCTATGTTCTTTCAAAATTTGGCTAGAATGGCATTTTGATTGAAAAGTTAAGTGACACAGCAGTTTTGGATAGGCACAGTGTGAAGTAGGGCAGGGCTGGGCAGCTCCCGTAACACAGGGGCAATGGTTTCTTCCTGTGGTCCCTGGAGTACTAGAGTCCTGTAGAAGAGCCCCAGTAAATCACTCTGGCCCTTTCCATCTCCAAACTCAACCAGTACAGCTGCAGTTTTATCCAGTTGTATGTAGTTTTTGCCATTATAATTTATGAAGTTCTACAGAAAGTTCACTTGAAAAGATATTATAAATAAAGAGTTTGCAAAGAGTATATAATTTGCAAATTACCGGAAAAGCTGAAAGAATAAATCAAACCAAAAACCCAAAAAGCCTGGGCCATTGGGCAATGCTAACACTTTGGTGGCTCTGTTGCTTCTTTTGTAGTTATCTACACTTTCTTTGAGATTCTTTCCAGGTCAAATTGCGTAATTCTAACCAGCTGCACTAGAATGTGGGAAAGCCCTCCCAGACAGATTCTGAGGATTTTAAATGTTTATAAAGTGAAGTCCTAATCAATCTACCCCTTCTAGTTACAAAACCCAAGACCAAAACCAACACTAAAGTTAAGCATTACAGAGCAAGTAACCTTTTGATAGGCAGGCCCTAGAATCTATCCACCATTCAGAATAGATTTTTCATAGGTTTTAAAAAAAATGTAGTTTCCAAATAATTAACTTACAATTTATGTTTTGAAACACAGGCTGTCAATACTTTGTCAACTGGTGTCTGATTACATTAATTATTCCTTCCATAGTTTAAATACCAGCTATTATAAAGTATAACAATAAAATGTTATTTTACCACTTTGAAAGACAGTTTTCATATTGATGGAACTATCATAAAGATTTTTGGTTGCCTGTAATATTTCTTGGGAGGTATATATCTGTTATATAATAATTCACTTATTTTGTATGCAATTTTCTGTTTGTTATAATTCACAATTTTAAAACTTTTTTGGAACTACGGCTCAAAAACAAAAAATACACATGAGATAATATGAGGTTAAAAGGTCAACTGTATATATACCATCATCTCAGCTTTTAAGATGTGTGTTTAGATATCTGTAATAGAATAAACAAAAGTTATAATTATTATAAATCTTTACCCAAACTTTTTACACTAAATTTTAAATAAAAGTAGCCCTATGTAGTCCATTAAGCAGTTAATAACAGTTAATACTCTAACTAAAATATACACATATTCAAAGGCAGTATTTCCCACTCAGAATGACTCAGCAGTCCAGGTAATTAAGAAAATAACCTAAGAAGAAACGCAGCAAACATAAAACAGATGCTGTTTGAACAGAAGATATACTAACATTTGTTTTATAATCCAGCTTCATCAAGAAGCAAAGCTTTTTAAACTAGTCTCCCTGCTTTCACTCAAGGCACCTTAAGTCCATTCTCCATGAGAGCCAAAGTAATCTTTTCAAACCCTACGTCACATGGTAGCATCCTTCCACTTAAAACCTTATTTTAATGGCTTCTCATAGAATTAACAATCTATTTAATAAGCTCCTTATCATGGCTTACAATATTCTACCTTTATCTCACCTCTATCTACCTCTTTCACCTCCCTCTGTGTACCTGTTTCAACAGCACTGGCCTTCTTTTTTCCAACAAAGTAAGCTCAAAACCTCTGCCCTTCCTCTTCCTGTATGTGGCTGTCTCCTCCAAGGGGCATTCCCTACCTGACCCTCTTATGTAAAAGTAGACCTGTCCCAGTCAGTCACTTTCTCATCTACTGCTTATAGCAGACAACTGTTAAGAAATTACTCATTTATTACTTCGTCTTCTCACCCACCAAAAAGAATGTCAGCACTGTATGAACAAGGGCAATGTCAATCCATGTGTGCTTACTATACTGCAAAGAACCCTCCACAGAGAAAAACATTGTGACCCTGAGAAAAACATTCAAAGTGGAACAAAATGCAACCTAATACAATTCTAAGTATGTTTATACTATGCAAAATAGCGGAAAAGACACTTTTATAAAAGGCTTAGCTTTTCTTCCTACTGACGATTTAAAGCTCTTACTTGAACCCTTGATAATTAGCAAGATTAGAGCGACCAATGAAGAATGTTCTTGAGGGGAAAAAAAAAGAGAGAGAAAAAATAAATTAAAGTACTTCAATAAACTCACAATTTAAAGTAGTTACTGTCATGAAGTGGGTCTCCTAAGAGTTTAATGTTTTAAAATTGGGCAATTTTAAATTATAGAACTTCTATCCCAATAAGAAACATCTAGAAATAGCATTGTTAACTCTTCATTCACTTTCCTATGCATAATTCATTCTACTTATCAACTCTATAAGCTATTATTATAGATGACCGCTCTTAATCACTATGAATTTAACAACGTCCTATCAGTCGTGGTCATCATATCTGAAATAACAAAGTTACACAATTATGGAGTGATATTAAATTAAATTCATATTTACATGTTGATGTAAGTGCATGTAAACAAGAATAGGACATATGTGTTCCATGTTCCATTCTATTAGGTACTACGAGCTAAGGTCCCTGTAGTACTTATCATAAGCGACATCTACAAAGGTCCAGGAATCTTTCCCTTGGGGAATGAGGGGAATCATAATTTAAAAAAAAAAAAAAAAAAGTGGAAAAATGGTGTAGAAGCACTTTTATGGAAGTTTTAGCAATTTCATATTTTCTTCTTCCTGAAAAATCAGCTTCTACATAATTATTCTCAAGTATCTCTGGCTTATTCATACACTAAATTTTTGTTGATTCTTTCTCACCAATTTTTAAAACAGAATTGTTTTCATATGGTATAACTTAAGGCCAGGCGTGGTGGCTCATGCCTTTAATCACGGCACTTTGGAGGCCGAGGCAGGCGGAACAGGAGGTCAGGTGTTCAAGACCAGCCTGGCCAACATGGTGGAAACCCATCTCCACTAAAATTACAAAAATTAGCCAGGTGTGGCGGCATGCGCCTGGAGTCCCAGCTACTGGGGAGGCTGAGGCAGGTGAACTGCATGAACCTGGGAGGCGGAGGATGCAGTGAGCCAAGACTGTACCACTGCACTCCAGCCTAGGCAACAGAGTGAGACTCTGTCTATACATACATACATACATACATACATACATACATACAGTATAACTTAGACATATATACATCCATTGTAAATTCTCAATTTAACCGAAAACAGTGAAAGTATTTATTTCATCTATTTGAGGATAACTCAAATATTATACTCTGAGGCAGATTAGTGAAAATCCCATTTTCAGAAGAGTTATTAAAATGAAGGTGAAGAGAGAAGAAACTGAAATACAATGGATCTTTTAAATCAGCTAGACAACTATTCACTAGTCACATTCATTTTGTATCCCTCAGTCTGGAAAAAGCAAGGTTCTTTTTAACTTTCAATTAGTCATACACTGTCCTGTTTATATTTTCTCTAGCCATTTTGCCCTTTTGGAGGTGAACCCTAAATTAAATCAAAGACATATAATACACAGACAGCAATTTGGAAGTGGATTTTTGCCTACCCAAACCAGACATCATGCCTTGCCAAGGGAGCAACTCTGTATAAATAAGACTATTCACAAGATAGAAATGATCAGCACAGGATGGGTGCGGTGGCTCACGCCTGTAATCCCAGCACTTTGGGAGGCCGAGGTGGGTGGATCACCAGGTCAGGAGTTCGAAACCAGCCTGACCAACATGGTGAAACTGCATCTCTAATAAAATTACCAGAATTAGCCAGGCACGCCTGTAGTCCCAGCTACTTGGAAGGCTGAGGGAGGAGAATCGCTTGAAACTGGGAGGTGGAGGTTGCAGTAAGCCAAGATCACACCACTGCATTAGAGCCTGGGCAACAGAGCAAGACTCTGTCTCAAAAAGACAGAGAGAGAGAGAGAGAGAGAGAGAGAGAGAGAGAGAGAGAGAAATGATCAGCACATACCCATTTACCTCCAGGGTAATCACCAAAACTTCAAAGTGCCAAAGAACAGTATCAATGCTTTTGTCTAAAAGATCACAGAAACTCTAGAAGAGACCCTTCATAACATAAACATGCATCACTTTCCAGGAAACTCATAGGTTTCTTAAACTCACAAAAAAACTCCCTAAACATTTTTTATTAACTATGAAAATCACACTCTCCTTCTTTGAAAGTGATCATACTTAAGAAAAAAAATTCTTGGCCACACTGGAATAACATAAAAATGTTTTATTCTTGCTTTACTTTGGTTCAGGTTAAGAACAACTATTTTAAAAATAAAACTCTCCAGATTGTGCAGTTTCAATTTTCCACTGCTCATTTTCTATGACAATCTGACCAAGAATTCCCCACAGCCACCCGCCAGGAGGGGGAAAGATAAGCTGATACTCTAAAACCTCATTCTCAGAAAAGTAAGTATCTCTGATAACCTGTCCAGTTTTTCCAAAAATATTAATGAAAAGGTAACGATACCATAAACTGAAAGGCTGTTTTAGAAATGAGCAAGTCAGGCTTGTCAAAAGGCCAGAAAGGACTTTCTGGAAAGAATGATAAGCATCTTGGAATCTCACTTCTCTCACACACTGAGCTCCAATCTGCAGCCTTTTCCCTCTGAGCCAATGCACTTGATGGGTGTGATAACAGATGGATCATTGTATCTGCCAACTTCCTGTGATGTACTGTATGGGGACTGATAATTTAGTGACTACAGAAGTTCTACAACAGACAATGCAAGCAATACCGGCATTCAGTAAGTAGATGCATGCAGTCCTCTAACAGTCTGTAGGTGTTGAATATATGTGGATTATTGCGCAATACAAGCTCTCTACAAGTATCTAAACCATTAAAAAACAAAAAACAAAAAACTTACTGGGCAAGCTAAAAACTAATAGAAAAATAAACAGAAAGAAACAAGTATATCTTACTTTCAAAGTGACTTTTTCACTTAAACACGTGAAAAACCTCTGAACAATATATGTTTTATTGAAGTTTTCTAAGCAGGTTAACTTAGAAAAATGCATGTATATTTAAAAAGTATACATTGTGGGCTTGGTTTTCAGGCTTTGCAATTGGAAGTTATAACAACCAAAAACTGGCTCTAACCATTGCCAAATGTCCTCTGGGAAGAAAAAAAAAATCACTTCTATTGAGAACTACTGGAGAAGAACAGTCTAAAGTTCCACTCGTTCGATTCTAACGCTTATTTTGGAGGAAAGGGAGGAATGATAAGGAAAGGAGATTGTTTATTTATGGAAATTATACACAAAATAATCAAACATAATCCATATTGTATGTGCCAGCTAAGCACATATTATAATACTAAACAGAGGAAAGGCTATATAAAGATTCAGCATGCAAACTGTTCACCAGGTTGCACAGCAAATTGGAAAGGCAACTTCCATTAACCAGCATAAGAAGCATACTTACTTCTCTCTGCAAAACAGGAAAAAATTCATAGCTCTGTCACAACACTGTGTACAACTGATACTAAAGGTACTTTCCTCACAAATCCTCATCAAATAAACTCTGCATTATGTTGAGCACAATGTACACAACTGTCAATTTTAACAGATGCTACAGTGAAACTCTAGGTTTTAGGTTCTGGTTAAAAAAGAACCTTTATGCACACGTGCGCGCGCACGTGAGCGCGTGTGTGTGTGTGTGTGTGTGTGTGTGTGTGTGTGTATCATTCAAAATCCCATTACAAACACATTTTACAAGTATCAATAACAAGGCTGGGCACGGTGGCTCACACCTGTAATCCCAGCACTTTGGGAGCTCGAGACAGACAGATCGCTTGAGCTCAGGAGTTCAAGACCAGCCTAGGTGACATGGCAAAACCTCACCTCTACTAAAAATAAAAATAAAAAATTAGCCAGGAGTGGTGGCACATGCCTGTAGTTTCAGCTACTCAGGAGGCTGAGATGGAAGGATCACTTGAGCCTAAAAGGCTGCCATGAGCCAAGATCACACCACTGCATTCCAACCTGGGTGGCAGAGTGAGACCACATCTCAAAAAAAAAAAAGAAAGAAAGAAAAAGAAAAAATATCAGAACCAAATTAATTACTACCACATTATTTTACTGGCACATCTCTGGAACCTGCAACAGGTACTCAAATTATTGGGCAGAGGATTAGTTTGTCATTTTTGCAGCAACTCTATTGGAATACTATTCTCTAAGTCTAAAGCACAAAATCTCTTTTAAAATATCATTTTAGGATACCCCAAAACATAGCATTTAAAGTAAATGTCCTATACTAAAACTAAGTATGCTATTTCCACAGGGAAATTTGATTTTTTTTCTCTTTCTGCTTGCCTTTTTTTTCCCCCTTGCAATTTCACTTATATGCTAATCCTGAGCTACAAGGTAAAAAGAAAGGGAAAAAACAGGCCAGCGCAGTGGTTCACACCTGTAATCCCAGCACTTTGGGAGGCCAAGGTGGGTGGATCTCTTGAGGTCAGCAGTTTGAGACCAGCCTGGCCAACATGGTGAAACCCTGTCTCTACTAAAAACAGAAAACAGTTGGGCATGGTGGTGTGCACACCTGTAATCCCAGTTACTCGGGAGGCTGAGACTGGAGGAGTGCTTGAACCCAGGAGGCAGAGGTTGCAGTGAGCCGAGATCATGCCACTGAACTCCAGCCTGGGTGACAAAGCGAGGTGAAGGAAAGAAGGAAGGGAAGGAGAGAGGCAGGGAGGGAGGGAGGGAACAGACTAACTGGAGGGAATTAACATCACTTGCTGCACAGTTGCAATTCTCTTCTTAGGAAAAATTTAAAACTAGTAATATTTGAAAATTGTTAGTTTGATTTACCACTGATAACACCAGGCATAAAGAGAGGAATACTTGATCATTCAATAGAAGGAACATGAGTGAACGGGCACAATTATTCCCAACTAGTAAAAGCCTATAGCACTATTCAACAAAATGAGAACCAATTCCCCCAGTTTGTTTTCTCCTTCTTCCTACATCTCTGCCTCTTTTTTAAATATGTGAGCAGACCTGCCTTTAAAATTTCCAAGCTGTATCCACAAAACATAGTACTTTGTCTTGTAACATTTTCCCTGCCAGTCAACACTGCCTAAAACTCCAACACTGAGTTTTCTTCTACCTGTCGGACTCTTAATGTAAAGGCTCCATCTAAGTAAGAGTAGAAACAGGAATTCCTAACAATCTAAAACTGCCTGTGCCTGAAGAAGAGCTAAATCTAGCATGACGATAGACCAGGCTGGTACTGTAATTCTTGGCTCTGCTCGGAAACTGGTCTTAATGGGCTCGAGGACCACAGTAACTAATGTGAGGCCTCTAGATATAGGCAGACAGGTCCTGGGGCCACAGTTCACCCAGTCTGACAAACAGTATTTTCCAAAGACAGCTCACAATATATCCCATATTACAGGCCTTTTCTTACAATGTGACACTATCACTCTTCCTATCAAGTGGTAGGATCAATATCCCATGCCCTGGATCTGGGTGGCTCTTGGTAACTGCCTCAACAAACCAAATACGGCCAAAGTGACTGTAACGTTAGTCTCCAAGTCCAGAGAGTAAGAAACCGACGGTCTCCACAACCTGACCCAGCAAGATCACTTTTGGAGTGTAACCTCCCTGCTGTGAGGAAACCAAGTCCACATGGAGTGGCCACATGTGGTTCCTCTGGTCAACTGTCTCAGCTGACATCCCAGCCAAAAGCCAGCATCAGCCACCAGCTATGTGAATAAAAACACCTCCAGAGGCAATGAGGCCCAAGCCTGATTCAAAGACTCCAGTCTTGGAGTCTTTCCAGTGGAGCCCTCAG